GCTTCAGCGGAAGCAATGAGCACCTACAGGCTAACCTACATCATGCCAAGGGGGCATCGGCCACAATTGATAGGTTAGCCAAAGAACGCAAATTCGCAATAGATCTGCTGCAAGAACCTTGGTTTAGCGGAAGCCAAGTAAGAGGACTGGGTAGTTCAGTTAGGTTAATCTACGACCGGATTGGGGTTACTCCCCGCGCCGCCATTTTGATTAACGACAACCTCAATAACACACCTATTACTCCTTTTATTTCCAGGGACCTTTCAGCGGCTATAGTCGAGGTGTCGACAGTGAGTGGTGTGCAGGAAATTTTCCCCGCATCCGCGTACTTTCCTGGTGACGTTCCCACTATACCACCATTGGAGGTGCAGCAGTTCGTCAAATTCTGTCGACGTACAAATCGCCAGTATATTATTGGTTGCGATGCGAATGCCCACCACACGGTGTGGGGCAGCTCCGATATCAACGAAAGGGTACCTTTTAGAATATCTTTTACAAAATAACATAGATTTTGCGAACAGAGGTTGCAAACCTACATTTATTACTGCCATCAGGGAGGAGGTACTAGATCTCACTCTCTGCAGCAGATAAATTTCTGATTGTATTTGTAATTGGCGTACTAGATTTCACTCTCTGCAGCAGATATATTTCCGATTATATTTGGAATTGGCAAGTCTCGGAAGAAGCCTCGCTCTCGGATCATCAACACATAGTCTTTGAGATCCCAGGGCGATCTGAGCTCTGAGGCTTGACTTTCCAGCCCAGCAAAACTGACTGGGCCTTTTTCAAAACCTTAGGGCAGACTCGTTGCTAACCACCATTGGCTCAATCTACGAGATGGAGGTCGCAGCGGATCTGCTTAACATAGTTCTTTTGGAATCCTTCCATCACAGTACAGTTACTTGTTCCACCTTGATGAAATGTAAGGTTCCCTGGTGGAACGGGGAACTGGATGCCAAGCGCAAAACTGTCAGGAAGCTTTTCAACAGGGCTAACAAGAAACATCAGTGGGAGGACTGTAAGGCCTGTCTCACTAACTATAACAAAATTATTTGGCGCTCGAAGAGGGATTCATTGGCGACGCGACATTGTGACATTGTGAGAAATGTGGAGGCGACAATAGAAACGTTGCCTGAAGCCTCGCGTCTGCATAAAATTTTATCAAAGGAGTCTTCCAATGAGATAGGCCTCCTAAGGAGGCAAGATGGCACCTTTACAAATAATAACAGGGAGACTCTTAAATCACCTACTTCAAGTGCATTTCCCAGGTTCCTTGGTGGAGCATGATCTGATGACCCCTGCCTTCTCGGAACACAGGTTCCCTAGAGTGAGAAGTCAAAGCAGATCTGGCTCCATCTTTGACAGGGACAAGGTACGGTGGGCGGTAGAGTCTTTTGAACCTTTCAAAGCAGCGGGTGGTGGTGGGATCTTCCCAGAAGTATTGAGGATATAATTGATCCCCTGATCTGTATATTTAGGGCAAGTTATTGCTGGGAATACATACCGTATGCTTGGAGGAAGGTGTCCGTTTTATTTATTCCGAAATCGGGCAACAGGCCCCTTGACTTAGCTAAATCATACAGATCTATTAGCCTAACTTCCTTCACTCTCAAAACTTTAGAGAGACTCTTATACCTCCATATTAGGGAGAGACTTAACACTTTCACTCCCTTACATCACACACAATTCGCGCATGTTAAAGAGAAATCAACGGATTCGGCCCTACAGTATTTGGTTAGTAGGATCAAAAGTGCCTTCGAGGCAAAGGAGATCGCTCTGTGTACCTTCTTGGACATCGAGGGGGCTTTCGATAATACTGCCTATGGATCTATCTCAAGGGCAAATAGGCTTAGACCCTACTACTGTTGGTTGAATCGACGCTATACTTCGTGAGCGTGAAATTACATCGTCCTTGGGCAATACTCAAGTGAAGATTGAAGCCGTGAGAGGCTGCCCACAGGGAGGGGTCCTTTCTCCCTTGCTTTGGTCACTTGTTGTGGATGACCTCTTAATCAGATTACATGGGTGTGGTTACGATGCACAGTGGTTCGGATAGCAGATCTAGCTGGACGAAAGTCATTTTTTGTTTGTTTTTAAAATACTTAGTGTTACTTGGAATATATTCCTGACAATACATTCAAATAGAAATTGCATTTATTAAAGTATTAACATATGAAAAGGTAAGTCAACGCCGCCTATTTCAGAACTCTATTTTAAAAGCTGAAATTTAACTTAANTAAAAGCTGAAATTTAACTTAAAAGATTGCTAATTGCACTCACAAATATTTGCATAATTGCAAATTGACTTTATAAACAAAAAATTACACTTATTCCGCTATAGATTCAGGGGTCATAACGCAATTTATGTCCACATTGGTATAAGCAAATTTATTGTTATGTGTTAAATCAGAAAAATACTTGGAGTTATAAAACCTTTGGTTATGTAAGAGTTAAAAAAATAGTACCTCGCGAATTTTCTGCTTTCTGAAATTAAAAAAATTATACAACAGGCATGCAAATCTTTAAGCGCTGTTATAAAATTTTTTCTGAAATTTATTTGTGCTTCTTGCTGTGATCTTAAATTTTAGTCATGGTAAATAAAATCTTAAGAAGTGAGTTGTTTGACATTTGGTGTTGCTGAAACTTCTAAAAGACAACAAGGTGTCCGTGATTATGTGATTAGTAAATTGAAAGAAATATCTGATGAAAATGCTCGTTCCGAAGTAAATAAAGTAAATTAAGTAAATGACTTTAGATTCGTAATCAGCAACCCAGAAAATCCCCAGATACCCAGTTACATAGAAATCTACCGATTTTTTTAAATTTTCGTTCGCCATATTGGATCCGCCATTTTGAATTTTTGGTAAATGACTTTGGATATGTAATCAGCGACCCAGAAAACCCCCAGATACCCAGTCCAGTTTCATAGAAATCTACCGATTTTTTTTAATTTTCGTCCGCCATATTGGATCCGCCATTTTGAATTTTTGATAAGTGACTTCAGATTCGTAATCAGCGACTCAAAAATCCCCTACGTAAGAAGTGGTGTAAAGATCCATCAACGAGTATTTGTTTAAATAGTTTCGTCCAGCTAGATTTGCGATCCGAACCACTGTGCGATGTTGTCGGATACGCAGATGACCTTGCAATTACAGTTAGGGGAAGATTCGGTAGTACTGTCTCTGACGATACATGCGCAGCTCTTCGCGTACTCTCAAACTGGTGTGCCAATGAGGGCCTCAGCATAAATCCACGGAAGGCAGTTCTGGTACCGTTTACAAGGTGTAAACCGAATCTTGTTTCGGTCACTCTTGGAGGGACAGTGCTTGAATACACCGATGAGGTCAAATATCTAGGAATATCGTTAGATAAGAGAATAATAAGCTAATTGGAGCTCCCATCTTGACAGAACGGTTGCTAAAGCCACACGGGCCATGTGGGCCTGCAGAAGACTTTCTGGTAGGAAATGGGGCTTGAGCTCAACGCTAACTGAGTGGCTCTACCGTATGATCGTCCGTCCGAATGTGTCCTATGCATCCATAGCGTGGTGGCAGAAGACAATGCAAAAAACTGCCATACTTCGCCTTAAGAAATTGCAAAGTTTGGCATGTCTATCCGTCACTGGATCTATAAGAACGTGTTCAACTGCGGCTCTAGAGTCGCTCCTGGAATGAACTCCTCTCCATATTTTTATCCAGGAAACAGCAGCCACGAGGGAGCTGCAACTTCGACTATCTAACGACGGCTTCTTCGAAAAGAAGCTTCATGCAGGTATTCTTGGGAAGATACCAGGGCTGGAAATATGCGGAATCTCTTATTCCATGACTAAGTAGGTCTGCTTTGGCAGAAAATTGCAAGTGATAATCCCCGATCGCGAAGACGGTTCAAGGATGGCGGACAGATCGGGTGCATGCATCTTTGGACCTAGCACCAAACTTGCAATTCCCATCGGCAAATTGCCCACATTGTTTCAGGCTGAAATAGTCGCTATCTTAAACTGCGCAAAATTAAACCTTGAAAACGGTTTAAAGGGCGCTTTTTTAGTTATCTCTTCAGATAGCCAAGCAGCCATCAGGGCCCTTTCAAACAGGACTATCAAATCAAAGTTGGTTGGAGACTGCGTTGACACGCTACAAGTTTTGGCAGCTAAAAACACGGTTACACTGTGCTGGGTAGCAGGCCATTGCGGAATTGAAGGATCGGTAACTGCATTTTCGGGACCTGAACCATTCTGTGGTCTCAGTTGGTCCTCTTCGAGAGCCATAATTACTGAGTGGGTACACTCGGAACGCAGTAAGTGCTGGGGAGCGGTGGGGGGCCCTTGACAGGCCAGGCTCTTCTTCGGCTACCCTTTTAACAGAAACGACATTGTCCTCCCAAATAGAAATGACATGAGGCTACTCTCTGGGTATCTGACTGGTCACAACCAATTGCGATCCCACTTGCACCGAATAGGTGCGATCACAGAGTAGGAATGCCGAGGCTGTGAAACTTCGGAGCATATTCTCTGTCACTGTCCGGCTTTGGCCAGACAAAGATTGATTTATTTTAGGATTCATTAAGGAAGCCGAAGGAATCTTGGCCACATTGGATTAGGGACTCCTTTAAAGAGACACAAAAGATCTTTTAGGTCGCGGTTTCTCTTGTTCTAGTACACCCGGAAGATTAACTAACTAACTAAGGTTATATGTAAATAATTTTAGGCGTGACTTTTTGTTTTTGGACCATAGTGCAGCGCTTGCTCCTCGACAGGCAATGGCAAACCTCCGAGTTTATTTCTCATAAAGCCATTTGTCCCTTCATTTATTTTATAACACACGCACACCACAAATTGGAAGAAAAGCTTGGCCAAACACTTAGCAAAAGTGTAAGCGCCAAATATTTTTTTAGTCCGGCTGACTGAGTTGAAAGTTGAGGAATAATTCTAAATTCTGTGTATGCTGAAAAATAAATTTCTTCCACCATACTAATCATAATCACGTTCTTTTTATTAAACTCACCGACAATAAGGCGCCGACACTCTCCTAACGACAACCATTGGGGTGCTGATCCACTTGTAGAAAGATGCGTAGCTAGATTTGAATCTTCGCTGTTTATGCGATAAGAACATTTATTACAATCCTGTGATCCAGCTAAAACATTAAGGAGCTTAAAATATTTCCAGAAGCTCACCAATTTTTCTTGAATAACAATTAACACATCCATTTCATAGTAGATATAATCAACATTGCCGTTTACAGCTTTTATAGGATTCTGAATTTGCTTGTTTGGAGCACTTAAAAAATGTATACCCACTGGCCTGGTACTTTGGGTACTACTATCTTTGGTTGTAATAACACAAGGGGCATCGAGTTGAGTTGAATTTAGTTCGCGAGATACGTGACTAGGCCTGTTATTTAATTTGAGTAATGTTGCCTCATCATAACTGTTGGTTGTTGATGATACAACAACAGTTTCACATTCTAGGTTGGATCCTTGAGTGCCTGTTTTTGTGATTGTTCGCGTGTTTTCTGACAAAACTAAAGGGGAAAGCACCGAAACCTCAAAATTAGAGTTTTTGCTTTGATTGCCTCGTTGCTCTGCGGATGTCGTTTGAATTTTTCGCACCGGCGCTGAAAACCCCGTATTTGAAGTTCTAAGGTTTTGCTGTTTTGTGGATGTATCGAGTGGTGACGGTGTGCTTCTAGATGTGATGATTCCTTTTTGAGCTAGCTTGTATTTGTTTTTATGCTCCTGATGGTTTTCCTTTCTAAATTTTGAAGTTCTTGTATTGGAAATTTCACTTTTGGACGATGAAACTATACTGTCCAATTCCACTGGGTTGACTTTGTCAGTCTTCGATTTCCTACTTGTGTTCTGAGTTGATCTTATAGTTTTTACCAGTAAAATTTTACGGTTTCGAAGCTGACGATGATTCTTAATTTTATGCCAAGGCGTAGCTAACGCTAACAATTTTCGCAAGCGCTCTTTCTTCTTTTGTCTTGAGAGCAACGTTAACTCACGTCGCTTCAACTGCATTCGTTTTTTATCATTTATTTCAACAACCTTATCGCTTTCCTCCAAATTTTGCTGGTGTTCAGCAAGGCTTCGTTTGTTTGATGTTTTTGATTGTTTTACTGCTTTAGTATTCAACATTATTTTCTCATCGAAAGTTTCCTTAACATCTTCTTTAGATCGGCAATTAGGTTTAGGTTGTGAGTACTGTCTGGGATCTGGATTATGTAGTGCTTGAACAATGCAAATGCTCGGTTTTATTTTACGTGACGCTTCCAAGTATTTTTTAAATTTATTATGTAACTGCATTTTAATGCAATCAGAATCTTCTAAACTTTTAGTAGTTCTGGCATTTTTAACCGACGAACATGTACTGTTTCGTGTTGGTGAAAACCTGCGCTCACGTTGAAAATTCAAATTACCTTTTTTTAATGTATTTGGTGTTGGATTGCTGCTCATTTCATCACCATCTACATCACTAATCGATGACCGCGGACAGGTTGAAGTATCATTTGAATTTACCTCGTTCGGCTTCAAATGTCGTAACAATGTTTGACGAATGGGCGCAGTACCAGGTTTGGTGCCAATGGAAGTAATTTTGCAAACAATCTTAATTTCTGGTTCCTTTTCAACCCATGCTTCACTTGCAATGACGCTATTAATTCTTTCTTCCTCCAAAGTAGAGCTGTGCTCCGTTAAAAGTCGCGACTTCTTTCCGCTGAAATAAAAAACGGATTTCTTAAACAAACAAAGTTTTATTTAAAAATTAAAAACAAAAAGGGTAAAGAAAAGAACAGTCGTCTCACTATTCACTATTAAGACTAAGAAAGCATTTCCAATTGGTAAAATAACTTAATGGAATATTCCCTCCTAAATTTCAAATCTGGCTCATCTTAAATCCACTGACCTTTCCACAAGATTTGATATTATCTCCTTTGGTTCGTCAACCTCTTCTACTGTCATCATTTCGTGTGGTGATGCCGGCACCGACCCAACTTCTTTGGTACAGCTTTTCGTTACACTAGGAATTTTCTCCTGTTTCACTTGTTGCTTCAAACGACGCACACGCAATGAGCGTCTAGCTAAATTGCACTTCGATAGCTCTGCCACTGCATGGGCTACTGCATTGGCGGTGGACATGCCAGTCAATCCCAAATAATTGCAAAACTCATGTTGTTGATGACAATTTGCAGAAGTAATAGTTTTGGAACTGGGGGAAAATTCACGACATGATCGATCAGCATTATGAGGAGGCACTGAAGTTATTTTCATTGCCATCTTACTGTTTTCAGATAGCATTTCATTTGCGTTATTGCTACTAAACTCAATGTTGTCTGGGAGTATGGCGGTTAAGGTGGCCGGCATTGGTAACGGTAATAGCGTGGGCGATGCGATTGGAAGATATTTTTGCGGTACTGTGGGCGTTTTAAATAGCTGACGTTTTTTTTCGTGCAAGTGTTTGCTTTTATTTCGTATAGCAAAATCAAAACGCATCTGAATAAGTCCTCCCTTATTCGTTTCTTTCCTTTGGTTGATTTTGTCTATATATCTGTTGAGACGGCATAACTTGAGGATGGAATTTTCTTCAGCTGAAGTCCGCGATAATTTAGATGCAAGCCCCTGATGTCTTACTATCGCAGATGGCGAATGGCAACATTTTTTTTCATCTGCTCTTTCACAGGAAGCCAATTTATCAGTATTTTCGGATTCTTCATTGTCTAGCTTCTGGCTGAGAAGCTTATGTGGTGCTGAATTAAATAATTGCTTCGAAACCGAATTGACCAACAAATCATTTTCAGAAGAAGATGTAAAAGTTGGCGTTGTGCTGCCCTTTCTTTTAAAATTATCACACTGTTGTGGTTTTTTGGTTTCATACTCCAGAGCTGCGCGCCTCCGCCGTTGGGCTGATAAGCTTGCAACACTAGTAGTTGGAGTTTTTTCATTGAAAATAGATCCTGCATTGATATTAGGTAGGACTTCATTTCGAAATACATTAAAATTATATAGATGTTTTGAAAATTTCCCTTCTATATTTCTTGTAGCATGTACAACTTTTTTCTTCAACTCCTCATGTTCTTTGAAAAGTTCATCGAAACTACCTACATCCTCTACATCACTAAGATCTAAATCGCATTTCCAAGCGTTAATTTTTTCATCCAATGACATCTGGGGTTTTTGTGCTATTAATAATGCTAAATTTTGCTCAAAAGTATCGGCAGATATAGTATTTTTTTGAAGAATGGTTCTCGAATGCGTATTCGAAGGTGTACTGACTGGAAAGTCACTGGTGGTTTCAGTGGAACATTTGTTATTATGACTAGTACTAATGAATGTTTGTTGATTTAAATGCAAACGCAGTTGATTTTTAGAGTTGATTTTTTGCCTTTTATATTCTTTAGAACTAGTAGTGGATTTTGAGTAGACTTCTATTTGATCCATTGGTATTTGAAAAGGATTATCTGAAAAAAACGTTAAATCAATAATGTAAACTGTAATAAATAAAAGAGAAAAATATATATATATCTTATATCTATATTAATGAAAATGTTGTGTTCGTATGTCACGGTCGTCAAAACTCGAGAACGGCTGAACCGATTTAAATAATTTTTTTTTATATTGTTCGGTATAATACCAGAACCAATGATATCGCAAAAAATTTGAAAAATTTTAAACCCAATTATATTGATAAAATAAATAAATTATTACAATATGGCTATTAAATTAAAGAGGTTTAAGAAAGATAACTGCTGGAAATATTTTTGACGAGGGTTGCCACCTGTTTGAAAATTTAACTAAGTACATCGATAAAATAAATGATATATTACAATATGGGTATCAAATTAAAGAGGTTTAAGAAAGATTACAGTTGGAAGTATTTTTGAGGAGGGTTGCCACCTATTTAAAAATTTTAACTCAGTTAGACTGATAAAGTAAATGAAATATTGCTATGTGGGTTTCAAACTAAAGAGTTTTAAGAAGGCTTACAGTCGTAAATATTTTAAAGAAGGGTTGCCAACTGTTAAAAAATTTAGCGCAATTTAATTGATAAACTAAATGATATATTACAATATAGATATTAAATTTAAGAGGTTTAAGAAAGAGAACTGCTGGAAATATTTTTGAGTAAAATTGCCACATCTTTGTAAATTCTGACTTAGTTATTTTGATAAAGTAAATGAAATGCGGTAATTTGTGTATCAAACTCTAGATTTTTGAGAAGGCTTACTGCCGAAAATATGTTTGAGGAGGGTTGCCACCTGTTTGAGAATTTAACTCAATTTAAATGAATAGGTATCAAATTAAAGAGGTTTAAGAAAGAAGTCCTTTGGAAATACTTTTGAGGAGGGTTGCCACCTATTTGAAAATTTTAACTCAGTTAAATTGATTAAACAAATGAAATATTGCAACGTGGGTAGCAAACTAAAGAGTTTTTAAAGGACCTACAGTAGAAAATATGTTTTAGGAGGGTTGCCACCTGTTTGAAAATTTAATTCAATTAAATTGGTTAAACAAATGAAATATTGCAATGTGGGTATCAAACTAAAGAGTTTTAAGAAGACAATCGAAAATATGTTTAAGGTGCAATATGGGTGGTAACGAAAGGTATTTGAAAAATCTTGATTAGGAAAAATTTTTAATAGCATTATCACCTATCTAAAAGTAAAGACTAAAAATATTGAAATTAAATGAAATATTACATAACTGGTTCCAACCGAAAAATGTTTGGGAAAGCTTTACTATACACATTTTTTAAATCTTTCCACTAATCCAAAATTCGAACAGTTTAAATAAATATGGAATTTACAACATCTTATCAAACGAGAAGATCATATTATCAACGATGAGCTGGTACACAAATTACTTGATATAAAAAATTAATAAACAAGTAATTTTTAAGCAAAAAACACACCGGCTCCAATTCTTATATAAAAATTTAATAGTTCCGTTAATTTTTTCATGAACCAATGACCAGGTCTAAACCAAATTAGTATGGGATCACCTGGAAATCGGTTGACGTGGTCCAAAGTTATGCGGTAGCATACATAAAAAAAAAATATTCCGACGAATTGATAACCTTCTCCTTGTTTTGAAGTCGGTTAAAAACTATTGAAACAAATAACAAAATGATAAAAGAGTAACGAAAACAAAAAACTATCCCATGAAAGCTATTTAAAAATACTTAATGAACACTTAAAATTGTTGGCACCATTCCCTAGCAACATAAATCAGTTAACTTTTAATCGTAAACAATTTCGTTTGGGGTCGCCATAGCCTACTACGTACGTGCGAGTAAAGAAATTTTGAATAACATGAGATAATATTATTATGATTACGATTATCACTACTATTATGAACTCCTATTCCCGATCAAAGATTCCCAAATTAAAGCGAAAGCAGAAGAGCATTTACGATAGCATGCTGCAAATGTTAATATAATAAGAGCTGCGGAACTGAACCGCTCAGGAACAATTTACTACAAGAGCGTGCAATTACTGGCTTATGCCGATGACATCCAAATCATCGGTAACAAAAATCCTGAAGTCTGTTCTGCCTTTTCCAAGCTGGATAAGGAAGCAAAGCGAATGGACATGGTGGCAAACGAGGACACGACGGAGTAGTATCTCCTGTCATAAAATAAACAGTCAGCGCATTCGCGCCTTGGCACCCACGTCAGGCCTCTACACGTTGGCAACGGGAAGTGCCGTAGACGATGGAACGATGAGTTGTATGAGCTTTACATAGTGCCATGTCGTTAGAATAGGAACCGACGTTCCAGTTCTGAAAGGATCTAACTCGCGATCCGCTGGTGGTAGCAGAGAGAGATGCCCCAATGCTATGGAGAGACCAAGTGGGAAAGGCACATGGCATTTCCAATTAGTGTCAGTTGGCACAGAGAGAAACAACTGGCCTGCTTTGTCGAACTCGGCGAAATTCGCTTATGCGGTTAACAGCGCCAAATAAGAAGATGCAAATGATAAATTACAGAGTTGGGGGACCTTCCTCTTGGATGCGCCAGGAGGAACTAGGAAAACATTCCTTATCAGATGAATTCTGGCAACGGTTCGATCAAAAATTATATTACCTTACTATTTCAATTTAAAGATTGCATTCGGCATTCGCTATCAATAATGCTCAAGGTGAACGTTTGGAAAAATGTGGTTTAGATTTAGATGCGGATTGCTTCTCAGATGTTGCGTGTTCCCGTGTCGGCAAACCGGATATGGAAAACCGATAAATATTGTGTGCACACAAGTACTTATTACAAAATCAAACTTATATGAAACGTATGCTTTGTTTCGTTAATCGCTTAACATCCATCTAACAAAAAAATGCCACAGCAAAGCGTGGCAGGGTACAGCTAGTATATATATATATATATCAAAAATTTGGCGTTTGGTAAAGCAATTCTTTCTTCTACCTTGATGACTTCGATATTAACTCATTGCCTTTTACATACATTTTATTTTATGATACACAGGTCAGTCATCGACTAGCATTTGAATTTTAATTTCTATGTAGAATAATTTTTGGTATGCAGTTTTATAGCTTATTAAATTTTAGTTTAATAAAGAGCAAAAAATTCACATTGATTTTTGATAATTTATTTGCTGACGGTGTTATGCACTCTTTTCCATATAAAAAATTACTTTGCATGGAAGAAACTGCGTGATACCGTCAGAAACAAAAATATCAAAAATCAACGAGATTTTTTAGCAACATCTAAGTTGCACTTTATTATACTAGAATTTAATAAGCTATAAAACTGCATACCAACAATTATTTTAGAAATTAAAATTAAAATGCTTGGAATTGGGATGAAAAGTTTGTGGTTTTTTATAATTTTTGTACGAAGTCTTAAATTTAGATTTATGTGGTATTTGTTAGATAAAGAGCTATACTTTTATATAAAAATAATTGATGTTTGGACTAACTACCCAAATATTACGTTCCGCCTTAATGCGCCGTGCTATGTTTTTGTTAGCTACGCACACAGATAAAGGATCCGACTTACATCCTGCCGTTAGTTAGTTAATGTATCCCGCTGTAAGGTAACTAAGTTAGGGGAAACTTGACAAAAGTTCACCGTACGGTGGTTTGAGATGACAACTAACTACTTCACTTCTTGGAAGACAGCCATCTTAAAAACAGCAAAAGAAAAGTAGATAAAAATGTTAAATGTTAATTGTTAGATAAAGAGCTATACTTTTATATAAAAATAATAAACCTTAAAAGAAGCAAAAGAAAAGTAGTCAAAACTGGTAAAAATCTTGATGTGCTAATTTTTGTCGCAGGGTGTAGGCAAAAATTGCATTAATTAATAAAAATTTCCCCGCGGTTTTTAATTTTAGAAACAATAAGTTTTGTCTCGCTGGCAGTCCCAAAGCATGAAAGAAACGCATATTAAATACAATCAACGACTACCCGGAAATCACAACTCTTAATATCACTCTCCCTACGCGGCCGCTGTAGTGGTTAGTTCTACCACTCCGCAGGGCCTGGGTTCAAGCCGTGGTCAAAGCAGCATCGCAAAAAAAAGTAAAAAAAAAGTTTTTTTCTTAACAACATTCGCCTCTCGGCAGCCAATGGCAACCTCCGACTGCATTTCTGCTATGGAAAATAGCTCCTCATAAAAATACAATCGCCGTTCGGAGTCGGTGTTAAACTGTAGGTCCCTCCTCTTTGAGTGACAACATCAAGGCACACGCCACAAATCGGTGGGGAAGCTCGGCCAAATACTGTGTAAGCGCCAATCTATTATTATTTATCCTAAATTCATGATAGTGTCAGCCACAATCGAACAAAAACCTGTTTTGCCATCCATAGATCGCTACAAGTTATTAGTAAGGTAATCGAGATCAAGTCGGAATTAAGAGATGACAGATTACTTCTTTTACTAAGGACAAAAAAACGGCTGACAAATTCTTGCTGTGTAAACTATAAAAGTACGTTCACATATAATTATAATCTCAATAAAAGCTCGTTTGTTAATTACTCCGTTCACACAGACAAATCTCCGATTATTAACTGTCAATTTTGTTGTACTTGTTAATCTCACTTTTTTTCATCTGATCCAACTACTACTTCCGCTGCTATTGATCATGTGGTCGTTGTTTTTGTTGGTTAAAAACGGCCTCAAGCTCAATAAAATTATTGAATATAATTGTTATAAGGCCATAAATATCAAAACAAATAACTTAAGGACGAGCACTCCTAAAGGTTAAACATTCTAAAAATAAAATTATTACCGAAAACCAGCAACCGCATGACCAAGTGTGAATTGCAGCGGAATCATAATTCAATAATAAAAGGTTTGCTCAGAAAACAGTTTTCTCGCTCCCTCTTGAAAAAATCGGCTCCCTTAGTGTGTGGGTGCGTATGTGTGAGCAGCCTTTTGAAAGGGAGTTAAGAGAGTGTGAAAACTCTAATGTCACTAGTGAGCAAACCTATAATTATTGAA